CATTTGTTGCTGCAACCAAATCATTTTCAACAGGATTGGGAACATGTGCCTTTTCATCCAACCACTGAATCACATCATCCTTGAATGTACTGCTGTAATTTTCAATACTTGAGAACCATTCATTTTGTGTAACTTACCTCAGGTAACAGTGGAATTATTGTTTGATGCAGGTTAAAGGATAACTTTGGTATTTTTCAACATGGGCTCTATTTCCCCATGTGTATGTGTGCGTATGATTCATAGGTACAACTCGTTTTAAAATTGGTTCAGTATTAAGGGAGGCGGATGCAGCCGGCAGCCGCGAGGTAGATATGGGGGCAAATGCGTCCCGTATAAGTTTGCGCATTAAAAGTGCTTTTTTTCCACCACTGACCAGTTCAGATCGTCAGTGCTATCTCTGTAAATAGCATACTAAGCGTTTTCCTGACCTTTCACCTCCTCCCGGCTGTGACGTCATCTCGCAAGAGCTTTGCTTGTTGCCGGAAGAAAACAGAGGAGCCATGCTGAGCGCCGCTCAGAGTGGTGCTGGTTGTCCCGGAGTACAGTTGAGAGTTTTATCGGTATCATGGCTGCATATTTACCCGATTTCGAGAATGAGGATGAGCCCTTTTATTTCGATGGCCGCCCGTACTTATTTGAGCCCGAGTATACGGACGAGGAGCTCCTACAAATTCAAGAGCAGACGAGGGTGAAGCAGCGGCTGCACGAACGCGAATCTCTGAGGACTGGTGGTGCTCCTTGCTGTGACTCCATGCCTACAGAGGAGCAATGTCTGTGTTGCAACGAGTGGGACCTGCTGCCCAATATTCATGGTCTCGATGTGTCCTGGGATGATACAGAAACTACCAACCGCTGTGTAATTGCGTTATAGGATTTCCCCTCTCTGATCAACAGGGCAGTGCTGGACACCTTTTTTCATGTGCCCAAAATAAATTGGAGGAGGCGGCCAAAACCACAGGGACCAAATGGTCAACTATCCATCGAGTAAGTATAACTAATATGTCTTTATGCATGTAATACTGATACCTAGAATTGTCTCCGAGATGCACATTTACTGTTGCATACTTTGCCCTCGTATATATTGTACCCTGTTTTCTTCCGGCAACAAGCAAAGCTCTCGCGAGATGACGTCACAGCCGGGAGGAGGTGAAGGGTTAGGGAAACGCTTAGTATGCTATTTACAGAGATAGCACTGGCGATCTGAACCGGTCAGTGGCGAAAAAAAAAGCACTTTTAATGCGCAAACTTATACGGGACGCATTTGCCCCCATATCTACCTCGAGGCTGCCGGCTGCATCCGCCTCCCTTAATACTGAACCAATTTTAAAACGAGTTGTACCTATGAATCATACGCACACATACACATGGGGAAATAGAGCCCATGTTGAAAAATACCAAAGTTATCCTTTAACCTGCATCAAACAATAATTCCACTGTTACCTGAGGATGAAAAAGTTACACAAAATGAATGGTTCTCAAGTATTGAAAATTACAGCAGTACATTCAAGGATGATGTGATTCAGTGGTTGGATGAAAAGGCACATGTTCCCAATCCTGTTGAAAATGATTTGGTTGCAGCAACAAAAGATGTGTGTCACTTTCAAACGGATGATGCCTCACAGGCAGCAGCACAGGACACAGGCCCCATCACACTTCATGAAGGCTCACAGGATGATATAAAACCAAGAGATAGCATATCAAATGTGCAAAGCAGACAATCTGCACAAAGTGCTGCAAGTGGAAAAAGCTCTGGAAGTGGAAAAAGGTCCTCTGTATCAAGCACCTCCTCTGCTCGCATTAAGGCAGAAGCTGATTTAGCTGCATTGATGGCATGACAAGAACTTTTACAGGACAAACATGCACTGGAGGAGGAAGAGCAGCAAATACGGAAACGTAAAGAAAGGCTCAAGCTGGATGAAGAAATTGATGCACACTTGGCTAAAGTGAGTGTGCTAAGGGCTGCTAGCACATCTGGTTCTAAAAGCACTGTAACAGGCCGGTCCAATGCAATGAATTCATACCTTAAAAATGAACATGGAGAAACAGCAGAGTTCAATATCAACGCCGCTCCTTTCATTCCTCAGAGGCTGGAAACACTTAAACAGCAATCGAAAATCATGGTCAGCGATCAGGTGACAAGGCCTAAAGCAGATAGGCTGACCCACACTGCTCACTTTCAGCTTCCTACTTTAAAGCGCCACCTATCTGAGCCCAATCCTCAGTCCAGTGCTCATAATGATCAGATGCAACATGGAACCATTCTCAACACTGAAGGTTCATCAGGCAGTGGGGAGCAAAGCAATGTTCTTGACATCATGAAAAGGCAAAATGAAATAACACTACTGATACAACAGCAGCAACGGTCATCCTTGCCCAAAAGAGATATTCACGTCTTTGATGGTGACCCATTGCAGTATCATACATTCATGACAGCATTTGAAAATGGTGTTGAAAGCAAGGTGTTCAAGCAAGTTGAAAGTGGCGAAAAAAAAGCACTTTTAATGCGCAAACATATACGGGACCCCCCATTACCGTTTTAGCTCGTTTCGCGGCTGTCGGCGGCATCCGCCTCCCTCAATACTGAACCAATTTTAAAACGAGTTGTACCTATGAATCATACGCACACATACACATGGGGAAATAGGGCCCAGGTTGAAAAATACCGAAGTTATCCTTTAACAGCAGTGTCAAGGAGCTGAGTGAGAGTTTGCAACTGGGATTTCAACTCTTGTGCATTTTCATTTCGTTTCATGAGCTCTTTCATTGCAGGTATTAAGCCTTTTATTTTATTCACGTGTTTTATGTTCCTTTTGCAGACTTTCAATTTTATTTGCCAAGGCTTTTGCAGTAAGTTTGACATTTCGTTTAGTATCCACTACTTCAGACCCATTGTTTTCCACTCGTTCATTTATTTCACTCATATTGCCTTTTGAAGCTCAGCAACTCAGTGATTTGCGCAGTGAATCAACAATACACCCAGCATAGTTTTAATTTTTCCCACAGATCGTTTGTTTCACATCCATAAGTATTGGAAAACACCACAGATAATCACTCTCAACGAGCAGGACAGCGGGTCTCAGCGGACTTTCATATACAGGCAGCGCTACCCAATAAACGCGCTTTCAATCCAACATACACAGCATGAATGAATGCGAGTGATACAGGCCTACCGGTCTGAAGTCTGCGTTGCGATCAGTCTCTGGCGTTGCAGTTATGCACCGTGTGGTGTGATCCATGTGTCCACATATGCCGTTTGGGTGTAGTTTTTTGTTGACAAAGACATAGTGACTCCAAACAAAAGACGAAGTCACTGAGAGGCTAAGTGAGGGAGCATTGCACTGCTGACTCGCCACACAAATGACAAAGCCATTTCTGTGTTTTCCAACTGTGTCTGTATTTATTTTCAACAGCGAACAAACAGGCAAAGCAAGGCACGGCAAGATGTTCAAATACCCAGTTTTCAGTTAGGTTAAGCGGTCAACAAAAAATATGCTCTCCCTACTCACCCCCTCTCCGTGCAGCCGTCGCGGTGAACAGGTAAATATATGCCCATTCATTCAATCACCCAATCACTGCTCCCTGACCCACACCCACGTGACGTGTGAAAGGTGTCAACTGACAGCTGATGTCAACACAGACATAAACATCAATATCTTAGCATATAGCACCAACAGCGACCATTCGCAAGCGCTACGCAAACATTTCACTTGCGGTGTAAAGCCTCTTTCACACAGAGCGCGATTTTCACGGCGCCCACTGCGGGGTAGGGCGCAGAGCAAGCAGAGAGCAAGGCGCGCAAGACAGGATCTGGGAGAGTACAGGCTCGTTCAGGAGCTACAGCTCTATGGTGACCGCTTCCGGGTCTACTTCAGGCTCTTCTCTGCTATTGGACGCGCCGAGGTGTCGTCACAGCGCGTTGCGGTGAAATTAAAAAATGTTCAATTCGAGTGCAGGCTGGCGGCGCGCAGACGCCGCGGCATGCGCCCTCTCGCGCGCTGCTCAGCTCGCTGGCAGAGCAGTGCGCTCTTGTGCCGCAGTAGCACATACACAATGAATGGGTTCATCGGCGGAGGTCTGCGCTTTGCGCGCTCTGTGTGAAAAGGGCTTAAATGAGGCCTAAGGGGTAAAAGGGGCCTCAGAGAGCTTCCACTATTTTTTAAAAATAAAAAGTTCAGTCTTTATACTGATTTATTCTCCCAATTTTAATTTACTTATGGCACTAATTACTTAAAAATATAAAAACTGCAAACAAAACCAAACCTTTCATGACAAAAAACATTCAAAAAAGAGAGCTAGAGAGAGAGGTTAAAACCCTAATGATTATTCCAGTGTCTGTTGCACTGGACAAGCTTTTGAGCTGAGAAGTAGCATTTTACAGAAATGCCTTGTTTTTTTAGGGGATCCACAAAGCACATATGTGAGCTTTTCTCATGTGAGACACTGCCTTACTTTCCTTAATGTCAGAGTGTGAGTAAGGGGATGTAGGCTTCAATACATTAATGAGCTTGTCATGCTACAAAGGTCATATCCCTATATCTGGCTCAGGTTTTGTGGCTCTTCTTGCCTGAAATACAAACTTATAGGATCTGGTTGTACTGGCTGTCCACAAATATCTTTGAGTTTTGAAAGTAAAGTTGCAAAAATATGAGCAGCAAAGGCAGAAAGCATTCTGCACGCGTGACACATGCAGTTTTTATTGTGATACATTTTATTGGGACCTATCTACAGTAGTTAATGGTACATTCAAATTATGTTTTTAACATTTTGGTATAGAATGGTATTTTTCTACATTTTTGATTTACATTTTGACGTCTTGACAAGATTCTTTGAAGTCAACAAAATGTAAAATTTTGATAGCAGCTCAGGGTGACAGCCTGATGCTGAAAGAAGCAGCTCCACTCTATTTGTAGCCTTTAAACAAGTGCACCCTTTTTAATGTTGCAGTAGATGTTGTGAGCAGTTAAAATGTTTGTTTTAGCTGCTGCTGTCTCTTCCCCCAGGCTCAACAGGAGACCCAGAAGGCAGCTCTGAGATATGAGAGGGCTGTGTCCATGCACACTGCTGCCAGAGAGATGGTCTATGTGGCAGAGCAGGGCCTCTTGGCTGACAGGAACACCATGGACCCAACCTGGCAGGAGATGCTTAACCACGCCACTGCTAAGGTGCACACTCCGTAACCCAGGAGTTTTGACTTATTCAATACAGCCTCTGACAACTTTATCTACAGGTTTACCTAAAGAGAGGAGAATGTATTTTCAACTTCAATCCATCAGTTTCACTCAATTTATCGAGACAGGAATAGTACATATTGTGAAATTGTGCAGTATCATTGTTTGTTTGCTATTTGTGTGTTTTAGTAGCTTCAGTGTACACCTTTTTCCAAAAACCAAAGGCCTTTGTTGGTTATCATCTCTAGCTCAACAACAGATGCAAGTCAAGTGATCACGGCATGTCTTATCAGCAGCACTACAGAGAGTGTTCAACAGTGTAGATAGTTTTTAGACAGCTGATACAATATGCAGTGCCATATTTGAAAACTTCCTATGGTCATGAAATTCTTGGAAAAGTTATGAAATTAGAAAAAGTGCTATCCAGGCCTGGAAAAATTTTGAAATTAACACAATGTTTTTGAAACATTATGAATATACATTGTTTTGACTACAGTTTAAAATATATTCATATATACATATATACAGTACAGGCCAAAAGTTTGGACACACCTTCTCATTCAATGCGTTTTCTGTATTTTCATGACTATTTACATTGTAGATTCTCACTGAAGGCATCAAAACTATGAATGAACACATGTGGAGTTATGTACTTAACAAAAAAAGGTGAAATAACTGAAAACATGTTTTATATTCTAGTTTCTTCAAAATAGCCACCCTTTGCTCTGATTACTGCTTTGCACACTCTTGGCATTCTCTCCATGAGCTTCAAGAGGTAGTCACCTGAAATGGTTTTC